TCCTGGGTTCGATTCCAGTCAAGGGCATGTACCTTGGTTGCGGGCACATCCCCGGTGGGGGGTGTGCAAGAGGCAGCTGATCGATGATTCTCTCTCATCAACATTTCTAACTCTCTATCCCTCTCTCTTCCTCTCTGTAAAAAAATCAATAAAATATATTTTAAAAAAGAAAAAGAAAAAAAAGAAAAACGGCACCTGAGTGATGTGATTTCTCTCTTGGCCCTTGCCACTCTCAAGGAAGCAAGCCATATAAAAGGTGATCCAAAAATTATCACAACGTCTGGGCCAGTTTCCAAGCGAGGCTGCCCGGCCTAGGCAGGCATGAACCCAATCAGAGAGAGATTTATTGGGGGGCTATTCAGTGTCAGACACTGCTGGAATACAAGAAAGAAAAAGGTAAGACTTCATCCTTGCCGGATGCTATGGGGGAAGAGATTATACGGAAGCAAACAAAGCCCATGAACCGTGGACACAAAGGTGTGTTTGTTAGCGAGGAGTGGGGGTGGGGAGGGAAGACTGTGTGGGTGAGGGTGTAGCAATCGGAGAGCCTGTTGGAGGTCCAGGGTTTTGATCCAGGATGTCGAAATCTGAAGGAGGAGAAGAAGGTATTTTGCGGAGCCAGGAGGAACAGCAAGTTCAAAGACCCCCTGCCGAAACCGGTGTGGCTCAGTGGATAGAGCGTCGGCCTGCGGACTGAAGGGTCCCAGGTTCGATTCCGGTCAAGGGCATGTACCTTGGTTACAGGCACATCCCCAGTAGGGGGCGGTGAGCTGGAGGCGGCTAATCGATGTTTCTAACTCTCTATCCCTCTCCCTTGCTCTCAGTAAAAAAAAAAAATCAATTAAAAAAATATTTTTTTTAAAGGGTAGAAGCCCATAGGAAATATGGACTCGTCAGCGTGTAGGTGACAGTGACAGCCATGGCTGGGGGCGGATGACATGACCTAGGAAGAGAGTGCTGACAGCACAAAGGAGCCAGGACCAGCAACACCATCATTCAGAGGTCGGGCAGAGAACAACCAGCAGGGAGCCTAAAAGGAATCATCGGGAAGGAAGGCAAGAGGAAACCGGAGAGTAGTGGCCATGCCTGGCCGCCTGGCCGGGTGCCTCAGTGGTTAGGCATTCTCCTATGAAGAGGAGAGGGCTGGCAAGAAGCTGGGAGAGGAGGTGCTTGGGGGCGGAGGGAGTGGCCTTTGTGAGGGAGGCAGCTGGGAGGTGGAGTAAGACAAGGATAGAGCCTGGCAACCTGCAGGTCATCAGGGACCCTGGCCGCCTCCCAGGAGAGGTGGGAGCAGAAGCCAGACTGTAGGGTGAGCCAACAGTGGGTGAAGAAAACGAATGGAGACAGTGAATTTGGACATGTTTTTTTTAAAATTTTTAATATATTTTTATTGATTTTAGAGAGGAAGAGAGAGGGAGAGAGGGACAGAAAGGTCAATGATGAAAGAGGATCACTAATCAGCTGCTTCCTGCATGCCCCCTACTGGGGATCGAGCCCGCAACCCCAGGCATGTGCCCTTGACTGGAATTGAACCTCAATCTATAGGCTGACGCTCTATCCATGGAGCCACACCGGCTAGGGCCATGTCTTTTTTTTTTTTTTTTTTTTAATTTTTTTAAATTGATTTCAGAGAGGCAGAGAGAGGGGCAGAGAGCTAGAAACGTCAATGATGAGAGAGAATCACTGATCGGCTGCCTCCTGCACGCCCCACACTGGGGATGGAGCCCACAACCCGGGCCTGTGCCCTGAACGGGAGTCAAACCATGACCTCCTGGTTCATAGGTCGACGCTCAACCACTGAGCCACACCGGCTGGGCTGGACATAACTTTTGAGATGTTTTTCAGGTGGAAGGGATCAAGGAAGTGGAACGGAAGCGGGAGGAAGATATTAATAAGAACAGCTGAAACTGTGCCACCCCATATGGCAGCCACTAGCCACCTGTGGTTATTTAAATGTAAATTAAAATTTAAAAAATTCAGTGCCGAAACCGGTTTGGCTCAGTGGATAGAGCATCGGCCTGCGGACTGAAGGGTCCCAGGTTCGATTCCGGTCAAGGGCATGTACCTTGGTTGCAGGCACATCCCTGGTGGGGGGTGTGCAGGAGACAGCTGATCAATGTTTCTCTCTCATCAATGTTTCTAATTCTCTATCTCCCTCCCTCTCTGTACAAAATCAATAAAATATATTTTTTTAAAAATAAAAATTCAGGTCCTTGGCCACTCCAGCCACATTTCCAGGATCCAACAGCCACATGTGGCTGGTGGCAGCCATACGGGACTAACACAGACAATAGGGCATGTGTTAGAGTCCTACTGATAGCACCGAATGGAAGCACGCTGTACACTGATGGGAAAGAGGCTGCAGAGAGGGAGGTGGAAGCTGGAGAAATGTGTCCTGAGGAGGTGAGAGGGGATGGGATGGCCAGTTCCCGGGGAGGGGTGGAATTCTGCTAGGAAGGACCAGAGGAGGGGCTGGCCATTCATTTGGCAGAGCAGGTGAGAAGGAAAACGCGGGGCAGATACACGGGAGACTGTAGGTGTGGTGGGCAGGGGAGGCTGTCCGTGGTCCTCACTGAAAAAGGAGGCTACATGTGTGCGTGGGGAGGACGGGGATCTGGGGAGGGAAGGAGGTTTGAAAAAGCTGCCTGAGGGAGGGAGAACACAGACTTACTGGGGAAACCACACACAATGGGAAACATTTTGCAGAAGAGAAGCAGGACACGGGGACACTGAATGAGGAAAAGCATCTTAGGTGGGGAGAGGTAAACTCAAATTTTTTAATATTTTTTTAATGGGAATGAAAGGGAGTTCTTTTATTATTTTTTAAATATATTTTATTGTGGTTTTTTTTTTTTTTTTACAGAGAGGAAGGGAGAGGGATAGAGAGCTAGAAACATCGATGAGAGAGAAACATCGACCAGCTGCCTCCTGCACACCCTCCACCTGGGATGTGCCCGCAACCAATGTACATGCCCTTGGCCGGAATCGAACCTGGGACCCTTCAGGCTGATGCTCTATCCACTGAGCCAAATCGGTTTCGGTTAAACTAGGATTTTTTTTCCCGTTAAATCCCGGTCGTGTGGACAAGGACAGCCACCACGAGGCTGCAGGACCTCAGCAAAGTTTCCCGCCGGCTGCCCTTCCCTGGTTCTCCCTCCTCCATCCCACTCAACTCTCGGGAAGAATGACATGGGTTCTATTTTCAGTTAAAAATGGTTCCCTCTGCCCGCCTCTGTCCAAACTGCTTATCCAGCCCGAGCTCCATCTCAGTTTACAGCCACGGCTTGCTTGTGCCTTCCCATAAATTATACAAGTGGACATATTAAAAATGGCAGAATTAGGCAGGAGTTCCAAACAGCCCTTACCTACAAAGAAGTGAGACACAGACGTTCTTGGATGACAGTAACTCGACACGCAAAGACGTTATCCCGCGTGTGAACAAAACCCCCAAGCCATGCCTCCCTGTCTCTCTCCGCAACAAAAATTACGCCCTAACGTTTTTCTTTATGAGCAAACGTTTACATTCCCACGGAACGTTTTGATCTCAACCGGTTGGTGTTTCAATATTTGCTTTTGATCGCGCAAGTGTGCCGGGTCGGGGTTGTGTTGGCTGAGGGGGTGGGGGAGGGACATGGGAGTTAAAATTACCAGATCCCTGTATCTCCCATCTTGAGATCTACATCTGCCAACTCCTTCCCGTGCCTTTTTTTTTTTTTTTTTTAAGTATGAAATCTGAGAGCTTGCAAAGCTTCCCACGGCTCACAGAACAGCCCTTTCGCGGTCTCTCGTGGGGTCACTGGGAATGGGACGGTCTGCTTCCCAGCTGCCCCCCACCCCCGTTTCGGTACGCATGGCACCTCTTGAATCTGCACCAATGGCTGAAGCCCACCTCCCGCCCCCCTTCTGTGCCCCTGTCTGCTCAGGTTGGTCCGGAGCCCCTGTACTTCCCCTTCCTGGAGATTCCTCTCGGCCTGCCCCCGGTTCCTTCGAGCCCAGTGCAGACCCCCCTAGATAGAGTTCACTAGATCAAAGGACCCCAGAAACTTTTCTGGTCCAGCCCCCAGGACCATCTAGCCCCTTGCCACTCCTCGCCTATCCCAAACAGGAAAGCCAGATCTCCAGCCCCACAGAGCACAAGCCTTTGGGCCAGGATAAGGACGCCAAGCTCAGAGGCAGGGGACACAGAGATGGAGGAACTCTGGTTCACTTGCAACCCTACCCCCCACTGTGGGGCTGTGGCTTCCCTCTGCCCCCCACACAGTGTCCCTCTGCCAATGCTGGTCAGCTGCCCAGCCGGTGGGAAGGCGCCAAACCACTTCAGGCCTCAGCTTCCTCATCTGTGAAATGGGCACAATAGCCATTCCCTGGATACTGAGGTCCCCTTCCCCCCATCCTCCCAAGTGCAAATGTAAGGAGTTGAACTGTGGTTAGCGCGGTGACTCCCTGCCTCACAGCGCCTACTGCTCTGAGACACGCCTGGAGAGATCCATCCTGCTTTTTTCAATTACTTTATAGACTCAGAAGCATTAGTCACTTCGACAAGAGTATCTCAACTTCTCTCCCGAGCATCTGGCTGGTTGAAGCCTCACCTCGCTCCTCACCCGCTGCCATCATCCGCAGCCATCGCCGACAGACTCCAAGTCCACCCTCCCTGCGCCCGGGGGGTTATTATTATTCCCTTTCCAGGAAAACTTGCATTTCCATTTTGTTGGGAATAAACCCAGTAGCGGGGAAGGATAAACTGCTTCCCACACACTCGCAGGCACAGGCCCTGGAGCGAGGGGACCGAGGACGGACAGCCGCATGGCCGAGGCAGCAGAGCCGGCAGGGGGGCGCCGATCCCTGCGCGGTGCCCTGCCTGGCGGCTCCGGAGAGATGGGCCCCGGGCCCCGGGCGGGCGGAGGGCGCGGGGGGGTCGGCGGATCGCTGGCTCGGGGCTCCCAGCAGACGAGCCGGAGGCCCGCAGCCCCCCAGCGCGGCGGGCTCACTCACTCACTCACCCCATCTCCGGCGCTCGCTCTCCCGCGGCTGCTCCGTCGGGGCCTCTGGCACTCGCTGTCCGCCCGCCTGGCAGCTGCTCCCTGCGCAGCACATGCGGGAGCCCGTGCGCGCCCGGCTCAGCCCCGGCGCCGCCGCTCCATCCCGCGGGCTGCGCTGCTTCTGCCGCCACCGCCGGGCGGGCGGGCGGGCGGGCGGGGGCCGAGCCGCCAGGGGCAGGGCAGCCGGATCGGGCGGTGCCCGCCCCGCTCCTTACGTAACCTCGTGGCCCCCAGGCCCTGCGCTCAGCCCAGGGGCGGCGGTGCCAGGGCGCCTAGCAACCGGCCTCCCCGGCAGACCCCTCCCCTTTGCGCTTTTGCATCCGTGCGTCCCCCAGGGGGCATCCTGCCCGCGTCCCAGTGGAACGGAGGGGGGGCTCTGCAGCTCCCCTCGGTTTGCAGGTGAGGACCACCGAGGTCCCAGGAAGGGGGCCATTTGTCCAAGGTCACACGATCAGGTCAGAGCTGGGGGTCTGCAGAACCTGAGATGCCAGGCTGGGCGTCTTGGGGGCTGGCGGAAGCCGGCTTGGCAGGGAGGACCCTAACCCTGCAGCAGGTGTTCTAGGCTCTTCCCTGAGAAAGGATGGGAGGTGAATCAGTGGATCGCTTTTATTATTTATTTATTTATTTAATATATTTTTATTGATTATCCACAGAGAGGAAGGGAGAGGGACAGAGAACTAGAAACGTTGATGAGAGAGAAACACCGACCAGCTGCCTCCTGCACACTCCCTACCGGGGATGTGCCCCCAACCAAGGTACATGCCCTTGACGGGAATCGAACCCAGGACCTTTCATTCCCCAGGCCGACGCTCTATCCACTGAGCCACACCGGTTTCGGCAATGGATCGCTTTTTAGAAAAGACTTGGCCAGGCTGGTCCTTATTTTCAGAGCAGGGAAAACGGAGATGACAAAAGTGGGACCTCAATCAGGGGGGCACTGGGACTAACCCAACCCGAGTCCCCCATCCCCGCCCCCCTCTGGCCTTCCACGGGGGCAGCTGCTGAGAGCTCACCGCCTGCCCACCAGCCTGGCATCTCAGGGCAGTAAGTCAAGGAACAAGCACACAGAACAGGGCCACCCTGACCCGCTCTGACCTATCCTGGGACCACAACTTTACCTGCTAAACACCCCCCTCCCGGTTTTTTTTGGGGGGAGGCACCGACAATTAATCAGTAATTTTCACAACTATTATACAAACCCCATCACGCCACACTTAAAACCCTTCAGTGGCTTCTTTCCCACTGTTCCTGGGATGCAAGACACTCAATATGCACGCAAGACCCTACCCATCACATCTTTAGTGCCCTCCCCAGCCTTTTTTTTTTTTTTTTAACATATTTTATTGTGTTTTTTTTGTTTTTTTTTTACAGAGAGGAAGGGAGAGGAATAGAATGTTAGAAACACTGATCAACTACCTCCTGCACACCTCCCACTGGGGATGTGCCCGCAATCAAGGTCCATGCCCTTGACCGGAATCGAACCCGGGGCCCTTCAGTCCGCAGGCCGATGCTCTATCCACTGAGCCAAACCGGTTTCAGCTTTCCTCCCCAGCCTTCTTGCCTCTCAATTTCCCCCTTGCTTTCCGCACGCCAGCCAACTGGCCAGCCTCCTTTCAGCCCCAGGACCTTTGCACATGCTATTCTATAAGTTCAGGAAGATTTTCTCCAACGCCCTCACCGAGTCAATTCCTCTCATCCTTTAGATCTGTTAAATTGGCACTACCCTGTGAAAGCCCAGACAAGACTGCCAACTCCTGTATTTTTTTCTTTATTGCATTTACTGGTATATTTATACCATCATTAGTTTAATGTGTCTCCCAAGCAAACTCTATGAAGCCACATCTTTTCGCTCGTATTGTCTCTCGAGTGCCTAGAACTATGCCCGTAAGCCTTCCATAAGCATTTGTTTTGTCTTTGGGTTTTATTATTTTTTTTTTAATATATTGTTTTTTACAGAGAGAAAGCGAGAGGGATAGAGAGTTAAAAACATCGATGAGAGCGAATCATCCATCAGCTGCCTCTTGCACACCCGCTACTGGGGATGTGTCCGCAACCAAGGCACATGCCCTTGACCGGAATCGAACCTGGGACCTTTCAGTCCGCAGGCCGACGCTCTATCCACTGAGCCACACCGGTTTCGGCTTCCGTAAGTATTTGTTGAATGAATGCATTAGCGAACAGGCCAGGCCGCAAACGCACATAACCGGCTGGTGTCCGTAAGCTCGCGCTCAGAGCCACGGAGGGATAAGCACTTGTCCTGGAGAAACTTATCGATCACAAGCTGAATCTCAAAATGCCGGGAGCTCCTGGCAGTGACAAAGGGGGGATAGGTGGCAGGAGCCAGCTCCGCGGGTGGGGGGCTCCCAGAAGACGCATTCGGGGTACAGTGAGGCCAAGAAGCGTACAGATTCTGCACAGGCGTTTCCCTGGCTCGGCTGGTGGGAAGGCACACCCACGCCACCTCGGGAGGATGCGGTGATGCGAGCAGGTGGGGCCCGGTGAGTCACCAGGCTGCTTCACGCCGTCAGCGGGAAGCAGGGCAACGCTGGGGGCGGGAGCCCACGGGAGGGGAATACTCCGTGGCTAGGCGGCTGCCACTCTGGGTAAAGGCTCTCGCCACGGAGTGAGAAGACCAAAGGGCTCAGCAGGCGGAGTTTGGAAATGGTTGACCTGACCCTGTGGGGAGCGGCCTCAGGCCTCTCCTTCCACCCCGACCCCAGAGCCTCTTCGGGGAGAGGGGCCGCTCATCTCATCAGGGCTTCCCCCCCCCCCCCCCCCGCCATGGAAGCCAGCACAGCCAGCCTCTTCCTGTGAAGAACCTCCCATCAACATGGTCTCCATGGCCCCAGTTGTCAAGGGAGATGATGGGGAAGTGACTTCTTTCAAGAGGCCCCAAGGGAAGGGAGAGAGAGACTCCGTGCTGGCTGAAGGTTGGGGCGAGGCCAAGAAGAGTCTTTGTAGGCCAAGATTGAGTGTCCTTTTCGGCTGAGCAAGAGGATCCAGCCGGGGGGGACAAGAATAAAAATGTTGCCAAAACCGGTTTGGCTCAGTGGATAGAGCGTCAGCCTGTGGACTGAGAGGTCCCAGGTTTGATTCCAGTCAAGGGCATGTACCTTGGTTGTAGGCACATCCCCGGTACAAGAGGCAGCTGATCGATGATTCTCTCTCATCGATGTTTCTAACTCTCTATTCCTCTCCCTTCCTCTCTGTAAAAATTCAATACAACATATTAAAAAAAAAATGAAAATGTTGGAAAGAGGGACAGTCCAGGGGAAGGCGGAGGAGGAAGCCTTAGAGCCGGGAGGTAGGCTGAAGGAACGTGCCTGCGGGGTACTTTTCCTAAAGGGGGCATGGACTCCTGCTAGCCACGCATGAGAGAGAGAGATAGAGAGAGAGAGAGAGGCGGCAGGTTGAAAGCTAAATCGGAAACAGCAGCCGGGGAAAAATGAACACTGTTGCTCGGATAGATCCAGGGCCGGGAATGAGAGGAGCAGAGACCCTCCCAAAAGTCTGGGCAGCCAGACCTGGACCAGCACCGGCTCAGGCACCAGGGGTGCCTGCTGTTCCGTGCGGGCAGCGGGGGCTTCCAAAATCCACTCGCCAGGCACTGCCCATTGGTCTGGAGCACATTCTGCACTCGGACTGGGCAGATCAGGTAACCACGGTGGCTCACCAGGGCGCTCTGCACGCCTGAGAAAGGAAGGAAACGGGGCTGCCCACTAATCCCCGCAGGGATCCTGGGCAGAAAAGCACTGGGCACTCTCTGGGCCCAAGAGGGTAACGTCCATGTCTCTGCTTCTCATCTCTCCAAAGCTAGCTCCTAGACCTGGCTGGCTTCTGTGTGGGGCAGGGAAAATACAAGAGAGCCTAGAGCGGTGGTCGGCAAACTCTTTAGTCCCCAGAGCCGAACATCAACAGCACGCCGACTGAAATTTCTTTGGAGAGCCACATTTTTAAAACTTAAACTTCTTCTAACGTCACTCCTTCACAATAGACTCGCCCAAGACGTGGTATTTTGTGGAAGAGCCACACTCAAGGGGCCAAAGAGCCGCCTGTGGCTCGCGAGCCGCAGTTTGCCGACCACGGGCCTAGAGCATCTTGTAATGCCAGAAAGTAAGGCAGTACTCAAAAAAAAAAAAAAAAAAAAAAAAAAAAAAAAAAAAAAAAAACACAGCCCTGGCTGGTTTGGCCCAATGGATAGAGCGCTGGCCTGCAGATCAAAGGGTCCGGGTTGGATTCCGGTCAAGGGCACATACTATGGTTGCAGGCTCCACCCCAGCCTGGGCCCTGGTTGGGGTGTGGGCAGGAGGCAACCAATCAACGTGTTTCTCTCATATAGGTGTTTCTCTCTGTCTTTCCCTCTCTCTTCCCCTCTCTCTAAAAATCAATGGGAAAATATCCTCGGGTGAGGATTAACCACACACACACACACACACACACACACACACACACGGAAGGATGAGGGCATGTCAAAGAGACACAGGGAGCCAATGGAAAGAGCACTCAATGGCCAAAGCTGGGACATGTGAGCGACATATAAATAGCACTGTAAGCAGGGTAATGCAAAATATAAAATAAATGCACCTAAGTCCATACTGATACAAATGACTAAATAACTGGAGACAAGACAAATCTTCCCGAGAGAATAATTCCAAATAATATGTGTAGATTCTCCTGCCTCTGGTGGAATTCAACACCCCCACACCTTATCCCCTTGAGACAAGGCTGGTCTTGGTGTCTTAGTGATTTGCTTCTAAAGAACAGAGCACGGGACAAGGAAAATATAACTTTACAGTGAAGAAAACTGTCAGATCCCCCCATCCCTGATCGAGGACAGCAATACCAAAGATAAACCACGTTGACATGACGCACCTTCCGATAGGATGTGATGGGGTGTGTACTTCACCTGCGTGATATTTTCCCCCTAACCCATAAACCCAGTTTATTTATTTTTTAAAAATATATT